GTTTCTGAAATTAAACATTTTATTTGCAATTTTCTAGTGGTAGTCAACACTGCCTTTTATTTTCAGATGGATTTAAGACAACCATTGAATAAAAATCAATTGATACAACTGTAACCATAAATATACCACAGAACATAGCATGTGAAAAGATTGGTTTTCCATTTAGCTCTTTGGACTTAAGCCTTCATTCTGGTTCTATTCAACGTCAGGAAAGCTTGTTGAATTCTTTCCCAGGTGGCTTTGGTTTCCACGTGACGTTCCTCTAAACGTTTTATGGTTTCAGGTATTTCAATTGTTCCATCAGTTATGTTTACGCCTGTACTATTTAAGTAAATTATTATATAGTGTACTTGGGAAGAACTAATACTGCATTTTGTCTCCAGTATTTTAAAAGGTAACTTAATTCTATCAACAGTCAGCATTTCTTTGTTGTTCTAGGGTTAAATGAGAACAGCACGTGTTTTTTCTGCAGTAATAAAACAATTTGTTCTAGTTTATGTATAGTTCGAACTAGGTGAGTTTGAAGCAGCTTATTGGGAAACGTGTTTAAATGGTTACTGGTTAATTATTATCTCAATTTTTTCCCCTACATCTTAACTGTGAATATAACCTTGACCTTTGTAAAGAAGATGTTTAATCTCTCCAAACCAGTAGAGAGGGAGGTAGAGGATGAAGAAACTTTTTTTTTTTTTTTTCTTTTTAAACAAGTGATATAATTTTCACTCAAGGCTTGAGTGTAAATATGGCCTTCAGCTTAAAGCATTGTAGAGCCACATCATACCAGCAGCAGTGCTGGCAGTAAACAAGCTTACCTGAAGATGCCAGTTCTCTGGAAACAAGCAGCTTGGCTCCTCTGAAGGCAGTCTTTACTGTAGCTCCTTTGTAACTCTCATGTGGAAAGTTGAAGTGATGGCATTTTGTAGCCCCCAGTTTGCATCTTATTCATATGGATACTTAATTGTATAGTCATGCTTTTTGTTAAAACTTCTCCTGAGAGCACAAGAACTAGTAACTATTTTTAAAAGTAAAATTTTACCAGTTAGTCTACTTTATTTGTACCTGCAATTTCCTTTTTTCTGAAGGGCTTAGTTCTTAAGACCACACTGTTTCAGTATCAGCTTGGATAAGAATTCATAATTACGTTAGATTTTTTTAAAAAAGATAATATGCCAGCCCAAAAGGCCTTAAAATTGAAACACGTAATTCTTAAAAATCTAAGCAAAAATACAAGAGACTGAAAGCACAAAGCTGCTATTTTTCGGATGTAAGCCTTGATCCTTCTATAGGAGTTATGGGAGCATCTCCATCTTCAGTTCAGGTACTGCCGCCTTTGAGAAAAGAATGACTTCAAAAGAAGGACTGAAAGCTTTCACTGAAGTATTGAGGTAAGTTACTGAGTGGGTGGGTTTTGTGTTGGGTTTACTTTATTATTTTTAATATGAATTCTTAGTGATTGCTAAAACTTCCTCTTTTTTATTTTCCAACCTTTCTCATATTTGTAACGTATAGAAAACTCCCTTATTTTTACATTACTCTCTCTCAGACTGTAATAAAGCACAAGCTCTGTTAACAGTGGGAGTTTTCATCATGCTGAGTTTGTGCTGGAACAATCCCTGCAGCAGCAGACAGTTCCCTAATGTGTAATGATATGGTGAACCTGCAACAGTGATACTTATTTTATTTAAACAGTTAATTTCAGAACATTAGCAACTTTAGAATAAGTTTGCTACGCAGACTTTTTCCTCTTAGCATAAAAAGTAAAGTGTAGATGGTACTAAAGATGATACTCTGTGTCATCGTAAGAATCTTGCAGCTTTTGCTTCTTTTAAGAGTAGGCAGGTAACAACTAGTTACACACTGCAGCAAGAAATATCTTCTAGTACTAAAGGCAGGAAGGGGAAGAAGTAGAGATCTGCAACAGCCTTTTCAAAGAACTTCAGTCTTGAAGGGTATATAATGTAAAGTATCTATGGAGATCTGTATTATGCTCCGGAAACCTGTGATAATGCTCCCCCCACGTCACACCTTTCCATTTGGCCTCTTTCCCTACCCACCAAGTAAAAGTGCAGTAAACCTGTTTGACTGCAGAATTTGGCCAGTGAGCGTTTACTAGGAATACTCATAGCTTCTCCTTGCTCCCCAAGAACAGCTTCTGAATTTACAAAGAACCAAAACCTCAGTCCAGAACAGTTTAAATTCTAGCATAAGGATGTGATTGATTAAATGTAGATATAGATTACAAGCTCAAAGTAGATGCTTACAGTTGTTGAGAGATCTGTCCCTTAAAGCAGCATTTTTTTCTGTCACTATACAGAGCTGACCGTAACAAACTTGCATTTAGGTATCTCCAAACACAGGAAAAATAAACATATTAGCAAATAACACTTTCTAATTACAGATTATTTAGATTTTATAAACTAAGCATTTTAGTCTTTCCAAAAATATATTCATCCTTTGCTTTATTCTTAGCAACAAGAAAGATTGATTCTTTACCTTCTTGGTGTCCTTGCAAAACTGACCCAAAACTGCTTCGTTTCATAAAATGAATATGCCAACCAGAAATAGTAACCACAGCAATGTCCCCAACTTGGGTATAAGCTTCGGTTCCAAGGGCTAGATCTACGCCTAAGCAGTCCCTGCCTTTTTTTCCTTTCTCTCTCTCTCCTGTATGAACCAATTCCTTCTTCCAATTTCTTGATACAAATTGGCAGTTTTAAAGGAAAAGATGGAGTCCATTTCAGACAGCACTTTTACCTTACACTTGATATAACTGGACACAAATCAAGCCTTGGTACAGAACCAAGGGCAGTTGCAGCTGAAATAAAGCAGAATTGGTGAAAGACTGCCCGTGATAGTAAGATGTAGAATTCCAGAAGAAAAACTAGCTGTCTTTGCTATCATAAACAAAGGTCTGAAATGAACAATCGAAAGTACTTGTAGTTGCTCACGTTGATCTAAAGGGCTGATACAAAGTAAATAGTTGCATGCAAAATGGATCAATTACGTTTTAGAATCATATATTTAAATTAAAAAAAATCCTTCACGGAGGTATTCTTTGTCATTTAACTTCAGGAATTTTTGCAAACACCCTCTTAATCTTCTGTGTCATATGTTAAGCAGATAGCGATACCTTTCATTTAAGACATAGCTGAGACTAATTATGTAACCAGCTAACTGAGAAGGCTGTGGCTAAACAGTCTTGCTTACATGGGTGATAAACTCCACTTGTGGTTTTGTTCTGTTCTCGCGAACAGAAAGTGAAGTCATTTGTACAAGAAAGACTCTTTGAATACTAAGTTACAAGGAAAGCTCTTGGGGGAGGTGGCGAAGGGGAGTATTTAAGAATGAGCACAGGTAATAAAGCGAGGAAGGCAGCACTAGGCTTCTGTGCAACTTCTGTTATGTATGAAAAAGTGCTCCTGGATGCAAGGGAAACACACGGACACATTCATTGAAATTGAGATACAGCAAATGAGTGCTTAAATCTTGTATCAACTTTCAAGCTCCTAAGCATTATGGAAAGAACTAGAAGTATTCAGGAAGATAGGAATCGTCCTAGAACAGTTGCGGTAGGAGATGCAGCTCAATCTCAATCTTCTTTGCCCGAATGTGCCCAGTCTCACCAAGGGAATATGTGAAATGGCCTATTCCAAGGACTGTTTGTTTATTGACAACAGCCTTTGGGGAAAAGCTGCAGTAATCTTCACCCCGGTGTGACAGATGCCCCTTCCTATTCAGGGCGTGGGCTACTGTAACACTCTTGCCCTATGTTTGGGGGGGTTACCCGTGCTGTCACAGAAGTCATACAGCCAGTGGTGCTATGGTGCTGCATGCACTGTATGGGTCGTGATCTAGCCCTTTGTCTACAAACCCGACCACGTTGCAGATCTTAAAACTAAGCACTTTTCAGGAACCGCATATGCAGAGCAAGATGCAACAGGACGTAAGGAAACTTCAGACACTGTTCAAAACTGCAATCCAGTATCTCTTTCCTGTCTCCTTGTATGCATTTTACCTTTCTCTACCCCAAACAAATACACTAAACAGGCCAATTTGAGCTGATAGCATCTCTTTTCATCAGTAGTGAGGCTGTGAGCAGTAGTACACACTACTACTGCAGCTGAACATCATCACTGGTTTAAGTCCAACCAGTAGCACCCAGACACCAGAACCCAAGTCTGTGGAAGGACCCAATCAATCAGCTCTGTGTGTTTGACATTCAGCAAAATTAAACTCTTCAGATGCCTAATGTCCACATGTTCTGTGCCACTTCAGGCATTAGCATGAGATGCCTATGTTACAAGCATAATAGCCCTAGGTTTTTTCTGTTTCTGCAGAGGGATTCTGACAACCAGGGATGTGGAAAGCTGGATATACACCTAACTTCAGGAGTGCAGGCACTTGTCTACACTTGGGCAGGATAAATCCTAGTTTAGGTTCTTGAGTTGTGGATTACAGTGTGGGGGAGTTACATAAAGTCAATGATTAGGCTTAACATAAGGGCCTACATCCTTACTCAAACGTTTTCCTTTGTATTGTTCCAAATTCTCAGCTATTTGCACATGTACTTCCTTCTGTCTCATGTGAATTGTTTGATGTTCAAATTGGCTCTGGAGGAAGCTGAGTTTTCTTCCAAAGACAAGTCAAATAGATAATACTTGAGTGATTTCAATTTCAAGAGCAGCCAGAGACTGGACCAACAAGTTCTGCAGGTTGCCTTTGCCAGAGCTGCTCAGCATGAGGAAGCCTGTGCAACAGCAACAGCCACCCACAGGGGAGCAGGCTCCACCCCACCAGATCAGTTCCTCTGATACACAGTCTAGAGGATAAAGACATGGACCTAAAAACTGAGATCTACACAGGTAAATATAGTTCCTGAATGAAGCACGCTTTAAGAGTAAAAAAAAAAAAAGAAACCAAAACAAAAAACCCCACTTTTTTCAGTAAGAATTTTTTACTCGAGTTTTCAGTCAGCAAGGAAGTTTTCTGCCCATGATTATTTCAGTAATACTGATTTTTTTAACACTAATGGAGCTCCTGTCGTATTACAACTGGCCCTAACCAAAATTCCAACTTTTTTTCCTTAGTTTACCCCTTAACTTCTTCCATTCAGCAATCTAGGCAGGCATCCTTTACAAAAATATCTAATAAAGAAGAGATTACACAGCATGCTATCTTATTCTAGTTTATAGAATGCAACACATGGCACATTAGATTATTCCTTTCCAAAGGGACTACTTAATAAAAAAAGGAAAACAGCACCTATCTTCTTAAAGTGTATTCAAGTGAATATTTTCATAGGTAAATTTTTGCACTGCAAATTAAGATAATATCATTGCAGCAGAAGAAGGAAACATTATTTTAAAATTTTTTTTTCCTGTGAAATCCAAATTGTTGTTTATTCATGAACTCTTGGAATAAAGATAACCACCCTTTAATACTGAAATCTGTTATGAGACAGTGCTTGTCAAGAGGTCCAACTGCTTTTTAAGCAAATCTTTAATTAGTTTGGTAGGCTACAGGGCACAATTAGGTATTGTGATGAAGCTACAATGAATATGGCTTTCCTATGTCGATAACATCATTACGTTTCACACAGGCAATCTGACAACTGAGGGGGTTACAATCCTGCAGATACATTGAGTAATACATCTTTGCACACACAGATTACATATCAAATTATTGCCGCAGAACAAACCTGTTCCATTATGTATCTTATATAGGACAATTAGGACATACCTGCGCTACGTTATGAAACAGACAGCTACCCAAACCAAGTAGACAGGTTTTACCTAATACCACTAAACTTGTAGGTAGCCTCTCAAACATATCTAACAATACAACTCAGTATTCAAGTATATACTGACTAGGAATGCATTGTAATATTTATGGAAGAAACAGGACAGAGCTAAATACCAATCGGTACAAAGATTTTCCATGCCTTTCCACAGAAGCTGAATTGCAGTGCTGGAATGACAGTTTGCTGCTGTCTTAGATTATTCAGTCATCAGCAAAATTACATCAAAAGACTTACTTAAAATTCACAGTCAAGATGACAGAGGAAGTTTTTCCAACAGTACTAATTTTGGTTTCAAGTTTAAAGTAAAAGGAGGTAGTGCAGTAAGGTTCAACCCAATTTTACTGATGCCAGGTATGTTTGCCAGTGGCCTGTGGGTTGTCTTGTAATGTGATATTTGAAGAGGGTTTGTTTCCATCAGAATGTGTGTGTAAGAAAACATCAACTGATCTCCTGGTTTAACATCTTCTCTTTTGTCATACCTGTAAAGAATAAAGAAGGCTTATTTACATTCCTCTCTTTACCTATTAAACATCTCCATTATCGCAAGGGCATGTAGCATCCAAGATGAAACAAAAGATAACTGTGAATGTTACAGTTCATCTCTTGATTAAATTAACTAGTACTGGAGGAGGAAACAGTATTTTTAAAGGGTTTAGGGAGGCAGTCATTCCATGCAAGTCTTTCTGCTGCTATTGTGATAGAAATCAGGACTCCTAGAAAATTTCTCACTAGTCCTCCATTTGAGTTCTGTGGAAAAAGGACACCAAAGCCTAAGACTGTAGAAAACTGGACTCATTTTTAAGTTTTACTCTACAAGAATTGTGGTTTGGATAAGTGTGGGGTTTTTTCAGTGGTTTTTTTTTTTCCCCTGCCTTTTTTTAATTAAAAAAAATGTTATGAAGCACTTTCGCAGAAACCTTTCTCTTCTGGTAGTCATACATTAAAGTAGCAGCCTCAAAGAATAGCAGGGAGAAGAATTCCTTGAACACTGCAGGAAAGAAAGAACAGCTTGGCAATTATAGTATTAACTTGGCACTTGTTATTTCTGGGTTCAGTTCCCTGATCTGCTACATGTTTGGGCAGGTCACTTTGGGTCAGCTTTTACAAACCTGTTTAGGTACCTAAATATATATGAATGATATATAGAAAAATTTATATATAAAGTAACTAGTGAGTTCTAAAACTATTTAACATGTATACTGACAATTGTTTCTTAAAAGGAGTTATATTCAATCTAGCCATGGAGGGAATTTACAGGATGAGAAAACAAGTGACTTAAGCATTTGGCAGGGATGTGAAAGATCTAGGTTCAGCCACTCTCCGTCTGATCTAAGCCCAGAACTGAGTTCGTTATCTCACAGAGCTGTATGAACCTGTCTGATTTTCTAGAAATTGAGGTAGATCTCCCTCACTGTCTCATGAAGACACTGTTCTACCTCACAATAGTTACTTATTTATTCACTGAAGAGAGTCAGGTGGAATTTATAGCCCAAGGGTTAGGATGCTTATATTGGACATGGCAACCTGATCGAGTCCTCAGTCCAACAACTTCAAAGGGGAAGAAGATAAGTCCACCCAAAACACTCCACAGACCACTGTTAAGAGTGCTTCCAAAAGTGGGAGACCTGGATTCAAATCTTTGCTCTATATCCCAGAAAAACGTTCTACACTAATGCTGGGTAACAGTCCAGAAGACAGAGGTTAAGATGGAGATTACTTACCTTTAGTTTGTTTATAACAAGACAGTCTTAGGCATCCAACTATAAAAGAGTGTCCATGCTCTGTAACCCAGGTGAAGAGCAGTGCCCAGTTCTTCACCCTTTCTGTTGCCCTTTTCTGTGAACTGTTTTCTACCAGCTTTTGGAGCTCCTATTCTTAGGCACCTGATTCCTCCCACGCATTTCACAAGCAACTTACTCAAGGCTGTGGCTTTTCTTACAGGCATGGACACTGGCAGGGAAGTGGTGCAATCCCAACCCTAAATAATCTTAAATGCACCTAGGAGTAAATCCAGGCTGCATCTTTCGCCACGTGTGTCTGCAGGCCTGGCCTCTCATCTGCCTGAATTCTCTGTGAAAAACTGGAAACAATCTCAATTTATATTTTTACAACACTCCCTGACATAGCAGTCATTAACATTTAAGATATTTAAAGCAAGTACTCTACAGCAAACTAGAGGATTTGTGTGGATTGTTAACTAAAATTTTGGCAACCCAGAACAGACCCCAGGCTGACAGAATCCAGAGGTGTCAATAAATACACGATATAATGCAGAATTAGACTTTGCACACTGAACAAGTGTTTTCTTCTTCTAAAAAAAAAAAAATTCACACTAATTTCATCTGCTATTTCCAAAAAGATCACAATACCACTTAGGATGGTACATGCGTTCAAACTGGCAGAAGGAATGGCATACTTTGTAACAACTTTACCAACTACTAATTTTGCATTTTCTTCATCAGCAAATAAAGGGCCTTTCATCTGGCTGCAAGCATTTCTGAATTTTATTATTTTTAAATACTTTAAGCTTACACAGCATATTTATTCCTGGTTCAAAGAGGCTGCACTAATTGAAGACAAGATTGTAACACCTGTTCTGTGTAAGAATCTGCATCAAGCTTCTTTCAGTCACCCTTTGAAGAAAAATAATGGATCACTTGCATTTTTCTTGAGGCAAATAGATCTAATCTGAGCATGCCACTGAAAGCTGTTAACTTTAAGACACTTTTATTTATGGATTGTAGTTATCCTGATGAATCATCAGCCTTCATAGCCACTCCATCCATAAATCTGTTTTCACCTGATGTACACAGTCTATGAAGATGGTAAATTAGTTTTCACCCATCTGAAAGGCTGTCACTTCCTTGGATAAAGAGAAAAAGGACAGCTGGTGCCACTAAACTTTGCGCTATTGTGCTGTCAGACAAAGTGTATGATCCTGCATATGATGCTCAGCTGTGGATTTTGCCTGATTTTTTTAATGTGAAACTTTATGATGAATCAGCCCTCCCTTGAGGCTTTTTTATGATGAATAAAGATAAAAGTGAGAGAGACAAACTGCTCTGTTGCTGCAACACTATGAAACATCCATCAGTGACAGGGATATATTTGTTCACCTTCTAATCTCACTACACTACAGCCTTGCAAGCCCAAAACAATCCAAAACTCACCACCTCAAAAAGCTCACTGAAATTAAGCACTGTATTTAGAGAGTAGAGTTGTATTTAGAGTAGTGTGTGTACTTCAGTATATTCAAAAAACCAAAGATTGGAACATTTTAGCTATCATGCGTGTTCTATCACTTGTACTTTAATAGTTTAATGTCTCCTCCTGACTGTTCATGGCTTAAGACTTTCTCTAGATTGAACATGCAAAAAACAATCTGAAATAAACATTGGATTGGTAACTGTGAAGGCAATTCAGCTTTAAACTGTCTGTACCACCACAATATTATGAGAGAGCACGGAAATAAAACAAGGCATAGCAAGCTCAATGATTTTCATAATTCCCCCAGAAGCACACTTTTCCCTTCTTTCTCTTTGCTTCCAAAATACTTTTATCTCTAAACATACCAATAATTAAATTATGTTTGTTCATCTGATCCTGAAGACTGTAACTGGGGAAAAAGAACTCCATGCTCAGAGTACTTCTTAAACCAAAATCTGCTCATATTGCTTTTGTTTTGTGCAAGTATGAAGTGAGGCTTTGTGTCACCTTCTGCTGAATCATTTTGATTAAGATGACATTTTAAATTAGAAACCTACACTTCAACTGAAGAGGCAGGCCTACAAATCAGAAAGACACCTTTTTTTTGGTCTGCATCCTGAAAAGCAAACAATGCCATCCCACAAATGTCTCCTATTATCCATTTCAATATTCTCATTCTTAAAACTGTTTGTACATCGCTGCTGGTCATGGTAACAAAGCACTCAACTGCTTTCTCTCAGAGCCAATGAATGTGACCGATAGTCCACAACAGCAGCTTCAATGCCATCTATGTAAAGGATGTTCCACATAAAAATAGACTTTGAATATTAATAAGCAGATAAGCCTCACATTGCCACACATCATTCAAAAACAAACAAAATGAAAAGATACCCCCACAATTATATACACTGTTCTGCCAAGAGCAAAAAGTGTTCATCTACAGCTGTGTTTTACAAGATCTAGTGAGATATCAAACGTAGCTGCATTAAAGGTATTGGTGTTTTAGTAAGCTAACAATTTTTTGGCCTGTTTCTGATGTCTTTAAAAGATTCTATGCTATTTAGGCAAACCAGAACCAACCAAAACAATTAAAAAACGTTGCAGTGCTCTATTTCTGAAATGGCAGCACTGCACACAACAAAATTCTCTGAGGATTCACATTGTTCTTGACCGGGTTTAATAAATATGCTGTACCAGAAACCACACCTGTGATGTTTGCCCCTGTGCATATACAAAAAAGAAAAAAGCAGGCTTCTGTCTTCAGATCAAAATACCTCATTCATAACATACCTCCAATCTGAATTGATTTCTAGAAACCGAGAAACTCCTGTTTGTGCTGCAGCCACATCAATATGAACAGAGACATCTACATAAACAAAGAAAACAAAATACAATTTCAAAATTCTTCTAAGAACACTCTGATTAATAAATTAACGAAATAGTAACAGAAAAGATGCATGTAAATAGTGTGAAGAAGTAACATCCAATACATGGAAAGATATACTAGCAGAAAAAAAAATTGCAGTTGAAATTAGGCGAACATACCTCAAGCCAGCTTTACATACCTGCTGTTGAAGGTACCAACTCATGCAACTTCTGAATTGCCACTCCTCCAGGATAATTGAAATGTGAAACATACAAAGATGTTCCTGAATAAGCAGCATTAACTAGAAGATGCATTATAGCAAAGAAAGATCCAAGTTTGTACAGCCAGGATTTCCGGTAGTTATTCAGACTGTTGAGGTGGGGAAAAATGAGTAAGAATAAACTGTTATTTTTCTTTCATACTGGTCACTGACTATTGTGACAGAACTTTTAATGAAAACTCCACTGCTAGATAATAAAGATTAATGCAAACTTTATTACAATCATGTGTATAGAATGCATTTATTATCCATTTCTAAAAGACTAGCTTTGAGTGGCATTTAAATTAGAAAATTCTCATTAATAAAGCTAATAAAAGCTCATCGATAAAGCTAAGTATTTCTGTGTTTAAAACCTTTAGCTATGAATGTATTATCTTTCAAAGAAGTTCAGAGTTTAATTTGCATTTGTTTACTCAGTATACCCAAGTTTAACTGTTTAATACAAACTCCATGTTTCATGAGCCCCACCTGTATATTAAACTATCTCCTAAGGTAAGTTATGTTAACAACACAGTAGTACACTGGAATGTGTCTTTTTCTCTGGTGGATAAAATAAACTGAATTGTAACAGCATAACAGTAAAATCAGGGCTCTATTCTCGACTCTGCCCCAGATTTGCCAAATGGTCCTGCCAAATCATTTAACTTCTCTTTGTCTCCATTTCCCTCATTAGTCGAATGGGTACAATGATACAGACCTCCTTTCTAAAGCATATGAAGATCTCAAGATGATCCAGATTCCAAGATGGCAAGAAGTGCATAAAAATAGTAATAATAGTTTTGCTTTTCTTTTGCGTTTTCAGAGAAAAAAAAAAACAAAAACAGAATTTCGAACTTACATTCGTGAGCACATTTTAGCAGCCACTATGTTGAAGACAGGGAAAGTATATATGATAAAACGCAGCTCTTTGTGTGGGAGAAACGAATACAAGAAAATAAAGCCCAGTGCTGGCAAAAGTAATATCCGAGTTCTCTTTTCTGCTACGCCTAAGGGTACAAATATAATGCTGCATCCCAAACCACGAGGCAGGGCTGAATAGAAATACCACAAGAAGGGGGAGGTCTTCAAGGTGAAAAGGAGAGTTAAGGATGCTTTCACTGCTGACAAGTAAAGTAACTATTCTTTACAGTAGTGCACACAAATTTTGCAAATACGCAGTATACTTTTTGTATATTCAGATCACATTCTTCCAGGCATTTGGTTTTCTGCCTTACCCTTTGAGAAATAAAAGCAGTTGCCTAACTACATTCACATCACCAAACAGAGGCACATCAAATGGCTCTAATGATGGGCAGCATGAAAAACCAAAGGAAAGAAACCTTGCTCTACATTGGTAGAACACAAAGAAGCAAGAAAGAACAGTCAGCAGAGGAAAGTTAAAATTTTCGGAAAGATCTAAGAAACAGACATTGTCTCATAAGCTTCAAATAATGAAATACTAGATGAAAAGTAGAATTTAACACCATAAGTGAGTCTCAGGAATAGGTTACATCAAGTCTTTGCTTTGGCTGGTAGCGTTCAATAGATCTTTTTCCCTGGACGTTTCAAAGGATACTCCCCAGTTGGAACTTTTGTTCAAAACTGTGTTATACCAGAGCACTTTCCCCTCAGGCCACACAAGTTGCCTCCAAAACAGAGAATCCACAGCAACTGTTAGTCCTAAAAGAATTAAAGAAATACAAATCTGCGTGAATTAAAAACCAGGGAAAAGCAAACTAGCGCATCCAAATTGCACATTTACTGATGAGATCAACATAAACTGGAACATGCATCGTAAGCCTCACTCAAAGCCACAGAGAAAGCTGAATCTGTCTGTCTTGCAGTGGAAATGCAGGGGAGGGAGGCACTTCTTAATAGAAGTCTTAAGAGAAGCACATTAGATAGGAATCTGATTGAGATTCGCCCCACTCCAACCCCAGGTCTGAAATGCAGTGGTTTAATTAAAGTTTGTTTTAAAAGAATATTAGAGCATTAAGTTTAATGAATGGTAAGAAACCCGGGTGAACTTCAAATGGTACTAAATGGATTTTTATTGTAAAGCTGGTAAGTCCAGAAAAACAATCTCTAGAGGTTTGCTACTATTTATTAGGTGGGAGGGAAGAAGGAGGATAAGGGATGAAAGGCAAAAAGACAGAAGAGCAGCAAATCCGTCAGCCCCATCTCCTCCGCTCAGCTCTGTGAAAACTGCTCTGGTATTTAAGAAGTTTGCCCAGAGAGTGAACAGGAGTACCAGTGACTAATTCCCATTGGACCTCCAAACTCTTGCGCTGTGAGGTGCCTCCAAATGCACGTGGCATGATCTTTTATTGTTTCTACTGTCCACACTGTGGAAGGGACAGCACGCTACCAGAGGTCACCATCAGGCATCTGACAACAGCATTTTTAATTAGGTAGGCTGGCAGAGAAGCCTAGAGTATTTACGTGCATATGCATGAGCCTTCCACGGATGGGTAGAGACAAGGAGATTTTTCAACCTCTCTAGCATGGATAATCACGTAAGCTGTTAAAATTAACGTAATACAGAAACAGAGCTGAACTGTGACTCTCGCCACAACCCTCTTGCTCAGTATCCCTGTCTGTCACACTGTTGTAGTTTATCCTGGGATTCAGCTTATCGTCATGGCAATAGATACTACAGCTGATAATGCACATATAGCTACAGCCAGGTACTAATTATACTAAAGTCAACTTGCATGTCTAAGCCTTTTTAAGACCAGGACGTTATACTGTAAGCATCTAAAGGCCGGGGTCACAGTATCTTTCTACTGCTCTGTGCACACGTATTTCCTCACACAGACATTTTCAAAGAAATAAATACCCTTGTCATATTACTAGCAAATGGAATCAGACACACACACACAAAAAAAGCCCTAAGGGCCAGGTCACCAGAGAAGTCAGTCAAATCTCTAGACTTCTGTTGAATTTACTATGTGGCATTTGTTTTTTCCAAGCAAACACTTACCCAACCAAAAAATTCCAGCAGGAACAGCATGAGAAAGCACCTTGAAAATGGAGATTCTTTTAGTTAATAACGTCACCAGGAGCATAAGGCCTAAGAATATGCAAAGCTCTGATCTGAAGACTATAATTGCCAAAGCTGAGAACCAAATGAATGGCCTTTGCTTTTGTTGTATCCAAAACGTCAATGCCAGGAGCACTGCAAAAATAAATAAAGCACAACGTCTGACACACTGAACTATTCATTTTCTAAAGGGCAACACTTTTCTCAGTGCTAGCGTCTTGTTCCTCTAACTTCACACCAAGCCTCTCTTGGTCTTCCTACCATTTCTAGTCCAGAAATTCTTCTTCTGTTAGAAATGTAATTTGGAACAACACACAACTTTCTACTGTTGATGCTTAAGTAATTAGGAAAAGTATAACCACAGAAGAAACACATGGGAACTCTTCCTAAACAGCATATTTAATAGCTTTTTTTGGGGAAAAAAAAAAAAACAAAACAACAAAAACACCCCCAAACCTTAAGGGAGTACTAAAAGCCTTTCAAACTAAGATTCATAATTATTATTGCTCAGTATTAGCTGAAGAATTAGTTTATTCTCTTGGCCGAGTATATCCTGTATTCATGATAGCAGCACCCCATTCCAAACACGAAAAAGAGACTACAGACTACCGCTCAGGGAGAAGGAACTATAAATCCATTTGCATGGTTAGCTGGAGACACATAGTATCTCTACAGATGAAGTTACCTCTACTTTTTCACAGTTTAAATCACGATAACACTGACTACATAATAAAGTGGTCATGATCCTAAGGAAAATGTGTGAAACGTTAATAATACAAAGCCATGAAACCACTTATATTTTTTAACACCTGCAGAAATTATCTGAGAAGTTTATTACTATGCAGTGTTTATCTGACAATTCAACTGCTTTTTGTTTTGTTTTTCAATTCTGATCTACACAGGTTCCTACACCAACCTCATGATTTTATTAGTTGAACAACTTGCACTGAAGCATTAAGTGACTCAGCTAATATTTGTTAATCTCCCCTCTCATCATCTCTGGGCAAAAACTGTATGTGTAGAGTAAGGTTTTGACTTTGATTTTTTTTCCCCCTTTACTTTAAGTGTACAAACTGTTACATTTGTAGATAACTCCAGAAGAGGAAGGTGGAAAGGTTGCGGTGGGAGTTTGTTCCACAGCCTCATGAGAAAAATGTTTCCTGTGTAGACTAAGTTCACAGATTTTTTTTGAACTGCAGGTGTACCTACTGCCTTTTCAATAGCTCTGTTTTATGCATCAGATAAGTGTACTCAAACCTCTAGTTAATCAAAGCCATCTGACAAACTCCATGTATACTCAGATTCAATGAAACTTGACTCAACAGTCATTGTAAGCATATACGGTAAAAAAAAACAACAAAGAAATCACAACTGCTTAAGTTTTCTAGTCTGGTTATCACAAAATTTGACCAAGCACATATATTAATTTGGTCCGACCACACATTTTCTGTGCTCTAACTATTGATACATTTGAGAAGAATTTTTATATTTTAAAATTATTCCTATGAAAATACTTACCAAAAGGAAGTGCAAACACATTAGGGAGGGTTCGTGTACAGTAAAACATCAAATGAAACTGAGTAACAGTGATGAGACAGAAGACTGTTGATGTAGTTGCTCCAAACTGCTTTCTAACTTCTTTCTGCAGCTTCCATAATGTGTAAATCACACTGAGCCCCAAGCTTCCTCGGACTATTAGAAGAATAAAAATGGGAAATAAGAGTAATATCAGACAGATCACTGACGAACGACCATGTTACATAATGTAATGGGAAGAAGTTATGAATAATAATACTGAAGATGTCACAATATAACCCACTTCAAAGGAAAAAAAAAAAAAAAAGAAACTTCCCCATTAGTTCATCTATCTTAATCCACCTGTAACTTGTCTGATACTTTTGCACAAAGGTCAATGCTTCTATGCCCAAGTTAAACAATATTTTCTGAAGCACACACGGAAGTACACACGGGAGTGTATTCTCTGAAGACACTTGCTTTTTCTACACTGTCTGACATTTGTTAGCACAGACTTTCTCTGTGCTGTTAGTTACTCCAAAGAGGGGTGGAATTACCATGGTGGCTCCAAGTACCTACAGTTTGCAAAATCCCTCATTAAGGAAAAGAATAGCACATTTTAACCACTGATCCAAACACTAAATGTTACAACAATGTCACCCATTAGTCCAGTAGTAAGAACATTTCTATTCTGACGATTTAAAGTTCTCATACCTATCAGCTGGGAGTAAAACTTGGACATTCTTAGCACAGAAAGTACGTATATAGCTGGACTGGAAAGAGCAGCAATAAAAATTGGTCCAAGGAACGTTCTTGGGACAACTCCAGGAAATTCATGATGGTCATACTGCAAAAAGGAAAATCTAAGTAAGATAGGCAAATCAGAAACAAAGGAAAACTGGGATAAATCATATTCACATTGCATTTATCCTACTCATAGAGCAGGGAATCGCAATCTTTAACGGTGTCCAAGAACACCTTCTTTCCAATTTACCTTATCCAAGTCCAGTTGGTGGTACACCACATCATGGATAGCTTGTAGGTTAAAGCTTTCCTCCACTTTTGTAAAAGGACAGACAGTTAAATGAACAAAGGCCACAACAATAATCAGCAGCAGCAACGGGAATGACCGCCCACTCGAGCTCCTCTTCTGAGCCATACTGGGTTTGAAATTCACCTATATTCTATTATTATTAAAAAGAAAATTAAAAGAAAATACATTAATAACATGGTATGAAGTATACAAACAGAAAAAGAGAGATTGATAACGCAAGGAAAACATACTACAGTACTGTAAAAGTTTAAACAAAGACTAATAAATTAAATAATCCATCCAATTTTTTTTTTTTATACATTCAATGAATTGAGTAGATAGCCAAAAACATATTCAAGCAGCATTTCAGGATTTATGCCACCTTCTGTTAATATAAAGGTTTTAGTTTTCACCTAAAAAAACTCAGGCAACATAGACCCTACTTAAGAAAATACTTCCCTTTGCGTCCCATACTGCCACCACTGCCGAGTGCCACCTCAATTGCATCTGCGTTTTGTGGGAGAGACAGCTTTGTAATTTACTCTCACAGTGAATTTACACATGGTCTTTAGAACATACTCTTTGTTTGTCTAGGACTCTGAAACTAGTGGGAGAGGAACCACGAGGATGAGAAATTGCTCGGAACAGAGTACTTTGATCTTCTGAGTTTGCCAGCTTGCCAGTGGCTAGGTCTGGACTTGGCAAGCGAAGGACAAATCCCCTTCGGCACCCACACCACGTGTCATTATGGCGTGAGATGGTCTGAACCCCATCCTTCGCACTCCTACCCAGAAATTAAGGCCATCTCTCCCTAGTGCTTAGTTTCACAACACTGTGCTGAGCCACTCTTACAGTAGTACTTATGATGTATTTTATCATGATAAAATCATGTGTCCAGGTGATGCCAGAGCAAATAAAGCACAGGTATTGTCATGGGTAAACAGTTCATCTTTCCTAGTTTCAGATTATAAACCAGTTTAAAAAAAAAAAAAAAAGTTATTTTCCACGACCATTTCCAGCAAAAATATGGTAATCTATTTCATGTTCTTTTAATTTAAGTTTCCCACTTTTTGTAAGTTTACGATTTAATAAAAGACAAGAGATTTTGGTTATTGTTATTCTTGTTCTGTTCTTACAGAAACAAAACTTTAAAAATAGTACCTTTAAGGTACAACTGGGATTTTGGTTAGAGATGTTTTCTCGTGTGTTTTGGTTTAAATATGTCCATCAAACAGATGTAAGATAGTTGGCGGATTTGCTAGGATCACTTGCAACTGCCTCCTAGAGTTACCTTTTCCTGAATTGACATTTGTCCTGCTCATTAGTAAAAATAAAGAAAGAGTGAGCTAATATTCCTTATTTTCACAGCTAACACCAATAAATCCCAAAATTTGTGTACTTCCTGTAAATTGCATGTATCTGCATATTATTTTATATACCTCACTGACTGCATCTCTTTTTCTCATGATTGCCGCTGCCACAGGCTGTAACTGAAGCTCTAACCCTGGGCTCAAAGACAGAGAGTTCTGTGGTAGGTCCTTACGATTTTTGGCTTGCTTTGCAATGTGAAGAGACTAAATAAACACAACATCCCAGGAAGTGCGAAGAAGTCTTTTTAACTTGTGCCTAGTATTAGTTCTTTACAAGGATGGATAAAAATGGGTTATGCTACGACAGAATCCTTTTTCCACAGCAGTAGTAAAAGAGGTATGGGACTGTCACCAGGAGCACTTCAAGAAGTGCGCGGCAGGAATTAAGCCTCTCCACAGGGCAATTTATCTTGTACAAATTCTTGTCTCTAGAAAGCTCTCTTGCTGAATTCTTCCAATAAACACAGAGGCATCTCATGTTTCTGGCCAAACTTACCCGAGAGAAAAATGGACACCAAAGGATCAATCCACCGCTGCATAGAGCGACACAGGCATTTGAGTAGCTTGTGTGTCGTGTCAAGCAGCACGTAATACACCAGCAAGGTAGGTATTCCTCACTCCCAATTCGCAGCTTCTTAATGTTTCAGATATTTTAGGACCCAATGAATCCTTGTAAAAGGACCCAAGTGCCAAGCAGCTCTATTTTTTCCTTCTTAACTATATCAGTTGTGTAATAAAAAGATGTTACCTTCACCTAAAAATATTGCATTCATTATACCCTGACCACTCTACAGTATAGCCTGCTCCTGATATCTTTAGCTGATCGCCATATGAATGATCAGTCCCCAACTTCCTAAATCATCGGAATGACAGTGAAGCTACATATCCCATACACAGTTTATCACAAGGCTTTTTTCTATCTTGTTGACTCCAATCCTTTTGTATGCCTGAAGAAAGCAAGCTTGCCAGCATACTCATACATGTTGAAGATAATTATATACATTACACATACTGAGATTCCCTGAAGGGAAACACGCTAGAAGATAAAAAAAAACAAAGCACGAAGAAAACACCTAGGTTTCTGAGATAAAGCCTAATAAATTTAGTGGTCTTGTCAAGACTCAAGATAACTTGCTCTGTCGAAAATTGATGCCAACAAACCTCAAAGTTCAAGTGGAATTTATCAAGACGGGTAGACACTGGATTTGACGTTTAAAATAAATTTGCTATATAAAGGCAAAATACTTGCAATTAGAGTTTTTATTTTTAAATGCCAAAAACACAGAAACAGATTTTCACTTAATAAAAATATTTTAATAACGAAGGTTAGAGGAATATCGTTAAGCGAATAGACATAGTTTTATCCATCATTAGCAACTTTAGAAGAATCTTCCTCAGACCTGTACAACATAGCCACAGTGACTCCCCCCCCAGATGTCTACATCAAGACTGAATGACAGAAGAGCGGAGATTTTCAACACAAAGAATTCGTCCCTTCCTGGGATTAAACTGGGTGAAAATAAATTGTTTTCTTACATTAAAAAAAGGCTGAAGCACTTTCATCAAAAATGGTTTATTCTTTTTCTATGCTTTTTCTGCCAAAGCGTCATTAGTTCCAATAATGGACTTTTTACTCTTCCCATGAAAAATCTACGATATTTAGCTCGCTCACGTTTTTCAGACACTCTTCAGTATAAATATGTTAGAGTTTGGCAGCCAAACTGCATGTTGAATCTATCTACAAAGACTGCATTTCACTCCCTCACATGCTCTGCATGGAGGTATCTAAGCAGAACCTCTTTGGCTTGATCTAGCTTTGGTAAAACCTGTGTCGCATTATCTTCAATTTTAGTGAGTTTTTCCTACACTTTAATAGCTCTTCCAACTTTGCACTAAAGCTAACTTCCAAATGAGGTCAGATTTAAACCTTGTAGTTGCTGGGATTGATTTTATTTCTTTTCTAAGAAGGAACACGACAGTTGCTACTCTTACATGCATTTCCTCATGAGTTTGGGGACTGGCTAAAAAAAGAAAATTAAGACAAAAAAACAAGAAGAGAAAGTTGAGGCAGGAAATGAAGTCTGGGACAGCACCAGATACGAAGGTACGACAAAGCTATGTAGAAAATGTCACTCTTCGGACTGGGGAAGAAACACACAGAATGCCCTCGACTAAAAAAAAAAAAAAAAACCCCAAACAAACCC